ATAAATAAATAAATAAATAAATAAATAAATAAATAAATAACTCAATGGACGCACAGTGGCAGAGTAATGACCTGGTAGAGTGATGTCCTAGCACAGGGTGACACAAATCTGCTCTGATCATCCCTGAATGTCGGGGTTTGCCGGAGGAGAGGAGGAAGAAAACAAAACCACAAAAAATAAAATAGAAGCCTGGTGCAGAGAGTTGCTAATTAGAACAATCTAGAAAACAAAAATGCTAGAGTAATTTTGGCCCCACCATGCTGGGCTGGTTTCAATGCAAACTCAGTGTTGTGATTTCCTCTCTGCTCTGGGAGGGTGTAATTAACTCAGCTGCAATGGGCTTGAGGCTCAGGTTTCCAAGGGCTACCAGCTCCCTCGTGACCAGGAACAGCTGCCACCAGCTACTCCCAAGAGCACAGCGCTGGGGCTACCCCACAAGGCTGTGCACAAGCCACCGTGAGCAGAAGGTCCAGGCACCTAATGGGGTTAGATCGCCCTTGAAGATCAGGGATCTGTTACTTCCCAAACTAGTCCGTCCATCCCTACTTGCCACCTTTGTGAAATAACCTAGACGTGATGGTTTAAATGAGAGTCCCCCATAGGCTCATGCATCTGAACATCCCCAGTTGGTGGCACTGTTTGGGAGCTATGGGATGTCTAGAATAGGGGCTATTGATGGAAGAAGTCTATCACTGGACACACAAGACTTTAGAGTCAGCCCACCTCCAGCTTGCTTTCATGGCTTCCTGGCTGTGTAGTTGAGATAGGATCTTACGGCATCCAGCTCTGGCTCCCACGCTTGCTGCTTGCTGCCACGCCTTCCCTGACATTATGGATCTCTATGAGTTCTCTGGAACCTCAAAGCAAAATAAACTCTTCCTTCTGTATCAGCTGTTTTCAACCTGTGGGTCATGACCCCTTTGGGGGCTTGAAAGACACTTCCACAGGGGTTGCCTAAGACCTTCGGAAAACACAGAGATTCATATTACGATTCAAAACAGTTGCAAAATTACAGTTATGAAGTAGAAACAGAAATAAATTTATGGATGGAGGTCAGCACAGCACAAGGAACTGTGTAAAGGGTCGGTTACATCGGGAGGTTGGAGGCTCACTGTTCCGTAAGTTGATTTGGGTCATTGAATTTTATCACGGCAACAGAAAGGTAATCCACTAGGCTAACCCAACCTTCTCCTTGGTCATTGTGGCTAAAAGGGCTTCTGACATTGGTGAGTACATCACTTCAGAATGTGGTATGGACGGTTGATGCAGATACGAAGGAAACACTGAGAAAGAGAACCATCGACAAGAAAAGCTCATGACCTGGAGATGGTGTCAGGGACCACAGAGAGACCATGATGGTGGTGTGGAGGCAAGGGTGTGCAGGGCTCTCCTGAAAATCCAAGCAGCCAGCCCTGCTCACCTACTTGATGGACTCGACGGCACGTTGTATGCCGCACTACTCCAATAAAGAAAAATATCCCCAAGCCAATTATTTAACAGTGCTTTAATGAAGCCAAAAGGTGAACCATCACTCTACAGTCTTAGAAAAGGCTAAATAAAACACCAGATTCGTTTCCCAAGTTTCCTACCTGCCGTCCTGTCTTCATTGTTATTGACCTATGTTCCCTGTTCCTTTCCACCTATGACAGAGATCCATGCAAAGGTATGCCTTCCCCTCATTTTAAGTGAGGAAAACAACTCCCCCTGCAAAGTACAAACTTTGCAACTACAACTGAGTAATGGCCGTGAATAAGGGGATGGAGTTAATGGATTTTTATATATTTGTTATTGTTTTTGAGTGTGAGTGTCTGTCTGTGTGTGTTTGGGTGATTTCATTCACACCACATGCCTGTAGGTGCTCTTGAGAGCAGGAGAAGGCTTGGATGCCCTGGCATTGGGGTTACAGGCGGCTGTGAACTGCCAAACGGTCTGCTGCAAGAGCTGAGCAACTCTCAAATTCCTAGTGTTACTTCTGAAGCATCTTTCATAACCGCAAGAATGTCAACAACATTGAATACACGGAGAACTGGAAATTACCACTTCCTGTAATCAATGTGGCAGGAAGTACTTCAGTACCTTTTATGCATTTATTATTACTATTAAGTCTATGTGCTTGTGTGAGTTCATGCACACCACATGTCTGTCGATGGCCTTGATGGTGGAAGAAGGCTTTGATGCCAGGCGTTGGGTCTTATGTCATAAATAGAGGGTTTTCCGAACAAATGACACTAAGAGATGGTAGACCACAAATGCCACTGTTTAAATAATTCACAAATGTTCAGGACAAATTTATATAGTAATGGCAGCTACTATTCTAGTGTTTTTTGTTTCAAGATTTCTTTTATTAAAAGTGCACAAGGCTGTTGGACTTTTAAGTCTACTTATAATGTACCTTAAACAATTACATAATTCTGAAGCCACACCCCATACCCTAAACCATGTACCCAGCAGTAGTAACTCTTTGATGTCCTCCCGCAAGTCCCCAGAAATGGAAACCAACTTACTGCCTCCTTAGATTTTTTCACTCCAGACACTCCTTGAAATGGAGTCACGTGACACTGACCTCTCACGCCTGGTTTCCTTCTCTTACTATCATGGTTTCGTTTCTGTTTCATTAATCCTTTAGATTTATTTAGTTTAGTTTGTGTGTGTGAATGTTTTGTCTACATATGTGTATGTTCATTCACCGTGTGTGCCTGGTGCCTGAAGATGTCAGAAATCAGATCCCCTGGAACTGGTGTTGCAGTTGATTGTGAAACACCAGGTGAGTTCTGGGAACCAAACCCAGGTCCTCAGCAAGAGCATCCAGTTCTCTTCACCTCAGCTTCTCAATATGATGATTTAAAATTTTACCTATTTGTGTGATGGGTTAGATTTCATTCCTTTGTAATGCTGAGTAACATCCCATTGGCTCATCATGCCCTGTTTATCCATTCAACAGTTGATCAATACTTAAGTTGCTTTAGACTTCATAAATAACTTTCCTACCAGCTTTTGTGTAAACAAAACTTCAATTCCTTTGGGTATATTCATAGGAAATAATTGCTAGGTTATATTGTGGCTTTATGATGGAAAAACAAAATAGAAGCAATTGCTAAGCTATATTCCCAAGCACCTGCATAGCTTGGCCTTTCACCAGCAACGGATGAGAATTTTAACTTCCCCACACACCCGCCACACGCACGTACTACTGTCTGTCCATCTTTATTAAGGCATCGGTGTTGTGAAGTGACATCTAATTGTCATTGTCCTTTAGTTCCCTAATGACTGGCTGCTCGGGATCTCACCATGTGCTTCTTGGCTTTTCCGTATCATCTTTAGAATGACGTCTGTTAAAACATTTTGCTTCGTTTTGAATTGAGTGACTGATCTTTTTTATTATTGAGATTTTTGATATCTGTTTTCCAAGTTATTTTTCTAGAGAATGTTGGACTTTCACTTACTTAGTCCCAGCCTGGGGATGAACTACACTCTTATTGATCTGCATAATAATTAAATCGCCACATTTATTGAGTTATTTCTTTGTTCCAAGTCCTTTACAACCTTTATTTAAAACGAGAAATTAAAAGCTGTTGTTTGGACTATGTGTTTATTCTTTTCATATTCATGGATATTAGCAAAACCCTTTCTCAGAGAATCACCATTTGTTTCTTCTGAAACTGGGAGATACCCATCCCCATCTCACACCAAGAAGAATAAACTTAATAAAACAGATATGAGGATAAAATACCATCTGTACTTTAGATGCCTAGAAAAAGTCAACCACTTACAGGATTGAGGTAGGAGCTGCTTCCAGGTTCTGTTTTAGACCCTTAAGATTAAGAATGCTCACATCTCCTGCAAGCACCAAGAGAATGCCCCAGCTGGACTTCTACTCACTCCCCACCCACCAGATGTGAGCTTATCAAGCAAGAAGCACCACCAAACAGTCTGCTGAAGAACATGGGGCACGGCATACATCATTTCCACAAGCAAACTGCAGCAAAGTTGGCCATAGAAAAGAATATAGTATGCAGACTAAGACGCTTCACCTTCAAGATTAATAATGAGGAGCTGCACAGAGGCCAAGGGTGGCTTTGGCCCCATCAGCCCTCCCTGTTCTGGAAGGTGCAATGTGACACAAACAATAACCAAACAAAGACATAAAGACCACACTGAACCTTCCCTCTGCCATGACTTCTAGGTTTCCAGAAATGTCTCCACTTTTAACATCCAAGTTCCAAAGCCTCTATTTACAAATACTCAGAGTGTACCAACCACAAGCAGCCAATGGATTTGAAGCACTGTCCGTAAATCCGGCCATATGTGATGACACTCTCCCAGAACAGGACAGCAGAACCTCTCCCACTTCACCCATGTGTATAAATGCTCTGTTACTGTCACCTAAGCTGGCTCTGTGAGGGAGCAGCCAAAGTCTCCTGGACTACCGTTTATATAAACCAATTCACACTTATTTCATTCCCAGCACCAAACAGCAACTCCTGGTTAATCCTTGATCCTTGTCTCCTCAGCCAACACTCTGGCAATGCTGATGCAATGTGACACACCCCTGTGGAAAGTCATGGTGAAGAAAGGCTCCCAATAACACTTACGTGTTGGGCACACACATGACCCAGAACATGACGATGCTCCAAGTGGCACTTTTAAGAGGTAACTTGGGGAAAATGGGACCAACAGGTCAGCTTTATAGTCCAGTCTTGCTAGTGTCCAAATTGGAAGAGATTTAGAAAGAGGGCCTCTCATTAAAGCTCATGCATGCAAAAATAAAGAGGAATAAAGATGGCGGGAGACACAGAAAGATGACATCCACCTACATTCTGATGAGAGACCCCTGGCAGGAGGTCACACCCACTGCCACCAGGATCTTGGAGGTCTCTAGTACTGTGAGGTGTCCATTTCCATTGACCAGTGATGCTCCCTTATGCCAGTCCAACAAACCACATAAATACACTGGGCTCCCCACCAGGTAAGGGTGTCTCCTTGCTGGAGCAGCTACTCACCCTATAGTAGTCGGTGCTGTACACGTCCCGGGACATGCCGAAGTCCCCAATTTTCACCAGCAGGTTCTCCCCCACCAGGCAGTTCCGGGTGGCCAGGTCCCGGTGCACAAAGTGTTGGGATGCCAGGTAGACCATGCCTGCTGCAATTTGCTGTGCGATATGCAGCATCTGAGACTGTGTCAGCTCCGTGGGCGGGTTGCCCTCTGCCATCAGCACCGCATCCGGCCCGTGTGCCCTGTGAGAGAACACAAGGGGCTGGAGCCTCAGCCGGAAGACTGGAAGGACCCTTAGTTTCCTCTCAGTGGCTGGGGCTGGAGCACCTGCCTGACTTAGGTGAAGAGGCCAAGAGGCTCCGTTCCACCCACAGTTTTATCTCCACAGCCAAGAGGGCTCCTGGCTGTCTCATTTCTCCTGAATGGGATACCTGGGGCTGTGCGGGCTGGAATGGTGAGCCCTCACGCCAACACATCAACTGGCTTATGTTTCAGGGAATTCAGAGCTCTGCTGCCATGAGACATTGGCCACAGCCTTGAACTCCTGGCTGAGATGGAGTATAAGCAGGAGTGGAATCTGGCCCTCCTAGAGGCGTGGCCCTAGCATCAGTGGGGTCCGGGGCTTCCTCCAAACGGTGATGCAGCAGGCCACCCTGCCCCAAGCTGACCACTCCAGATGTCCCTGTCATTCAGCTCACCTGATCTGTGACCAAGTGCGGCTTTCGACTCACCCCTGACTCTTTCAAGACTGGAGTCCTAGCTAGCAAAGTCCCTCATCCCCACCAGCCCAGGACACAGATCCCTGTGCCCCTGTATCCTGACTCGGTGCTGCAGGGGGCAAAGAAACATGAGCTGCCAGCTCTGCATGGCTTGGGCAAAGCTCCCCTCCACCCCAAGGAAAATAAGGAAGGGGGGAGGTGTCTCCACCAGGAACTCACTGGAAACACTTGCAGCAAAGACCGAGGGAGAGCTCTCAATGCATTTAAAGAGGGTGGCTCCACCTGTGGGTCCCAACACTTTAAGCCTGGATTCGGCCTTCCTGAGCCATTCAGGCCCAGACACACCCCTTTGTCCCTGGGCTGCAGCCTGCAGTGACTCTCCCTTTCTCTGCGTTTCTCAGCAATGTTGTCACTAAGCCTTTCCCTCTGCTTCCTCTGGGAGCAAGCTCTGGCAGAGGCTTGGGGTGTGTCCCAGTCCACCACCGCTACCTAACTCCCTGATCTGGGGAAGTCTTTGAACTCTACTAATCTGCTGTTTCCTCGTTAGTCAAAGGCACAAGGGGATATTACGCTGGGTGATCCTTTGGTTCCCTCTGTCTCTGAATATATAGATTTAACCATTCTCTTGGGAGAAGATTCCTGGTTTCTTACCAGGCAAGACTCAACAGATTCCAACTCCCCCTCTCAGTAAACCCCAGTCTACAGCTGCCTTTGGGGCACCAGGAAGTGCCCTCAGGAAAAAGTCCCTGGAGGCTGTAAAACAAACACAGCACAGAAGCAGAAGCTCAGGCTGTCAGTGCCAACATAAGAGAGTTCTATAACTTACTGGGTCTCTGCCTTCATTCTGTAAACCAGACCTTTTGAAAGCTGTCCTAAACCATTGCCATGAACAAGAATCCATAGTGTGTCTAAAGGAGGGCGGGCCTTAAACAAAATAACTGGTCTGTAATGGAACTATAGAGAGATGAGGGAAATGGGAACTTGCCTTTTCTTAGATACCAAAGTCCTTCCCGCCTCACAGAATACACACTGAGACCTCAACCTCCGGTAAAGGACCCAGAGATGCACATAAACTAGTTGGGGATCCAAAAGACTAAGAGAAACTTGAGGCATTCAAGGAGTAAATAAAGCAAGTCAATGCCAGCCATTGTGCCAGCTACATAAAGCTGGACACCTGAGTCTGCAGGATGCATCCATTCCAGGGGGAAGTGTCTGAACCCCTCAGGTGACAAGCATCTCTCTGCAAATCTCCTGTACCAGCCTCCTGTTCCTGCAGCAAAGGGAAGCCGGGGGCCCTGATATCAGGGCTCTTCATAGCGCTGTGCATGCAGGAGGCTCTCACACCCTCAAACCTCACACCTTCTGAGACAGCAATGAGGCTTTTTGGTGGTAGCCTCAGCATAGCGTTGCTTTCTTGGAGCAGATGCCCCTCAATAAAGTGAGGACAGGTTAGTCTCCTGGAAGAGTTCTGAAGAGGACCAAGGAGCCCAGGTCCTCCGGCATCTCTTGAAAATAAAAAGGAGCTCCTTAAAGGATAGCAATGGTCATGCCTCTCCGGTGCTCTGGCTTGGGGAGTCCACAGCAGGCATATGGGACCTAGAAGAATCTGCTCAACCTTCCTGGCCCAGTGGTCTCCAGCATGGGTTGCAGCTGGCAATTTACCGCCCTTAACCGGTTCTGCAATTCATACCTCTTTCCTTATTATGTGTTTGAATGTGCAGTGTGAGGGACTAATCTCAGGGCTTGTGCTGATGAGGTAAGTAAGTGCCTTACCATCGAGCTGCACCCAGCCTCTTTCTGATTTGTTAAGAAAAAAGTGAGCTTATTGTTAAAAAAAAAAAAAAAAAAAAAAAAAAGTGAGTTTATCTGTTAAATTTACTATAAAAATTGATTGGCACAGAATAGTTATTCACATTTACGGGTTAGAGTATTTTAATGCATTTGCATAATGTATAAGGCATGATTAGACCAAAATAACTGACAGACATATCATTTTAGAAATTTATCTTCCCCTTGTATTAATAGCATCATCGCTATAGCTATTTGAAAACATGTAATTAACTGTTGCCAACCATTGTTGCGAATGCCGGTCATTAAGACTTCTCCGTCTCACACAGTGGCTCCTATACATCATTAAAGAGTTCACGGGGACTTCGCATGGCAGCTCCTACACACTCTTACAGCGGGCACTTCTCGGGAGGAAGGAAGGGGGTGCAGGGGCCATGGCTGATCTGATTACTTTAACTCTGCTACAAGGGTTATCATAATAATATTCAGTTTATTTGTCTTTACATTTTTATTTTTTAAATATAATTTGGTTTTCACAAATTAACACACCTTATGTGCTTAGAAATTCTGAAATTCTGAATAAATACTATTTGTTATTACTTGAAGATTGCTCATCTACCTTTCTGTACATTAAGAGGGAACTTGGGAAAGATTCTAAAGGGAAAAGCTGTGAAATGAAATTTCTCTTCTCATTGTCTATGCCACCTCGTGTGAGACCTAGCTGTGTGTGTGCTTTTTACATGAAGAGAAAGGCTAGAGTCATAAGACATCTGGCTTTCCTAGGCACTGCCAAGATGCTTGGGGAATCTGTCATGGCGGCTGTGTGCCAGGTTCTCCTCCCGGGAAGAGGACAGCCTGTCCTTGCAATGCTTCGCTGCACCTGAGTCTGCTTCTTGGCAGCCACACTGGTCCAGAGTTTAGCAGATTCTGGGATCAAACCGGCTGAGTTTGCAAGCTCTCCACACCTTCTGTAGGGTGCCAGGGGAGAGCTTCAGAAGGCGGGGGTAAGGTGGGGTATGGTTACTGTCAAAGTCAAAATATAAGGGGCAACAGATACACTCACACAGGCACACAGCACACACACACACACACACACACTAATATTCACACATGCACACACATGCACTCACATACAGACATATGCACACACATGCATACACACTCATATGCACACATATATGCACACACACATGCACTTAAAGACACATACACACACTAATATTCACATAGGCACACACAGGCACACTCACATATACACACTCATTTGCACATACACACTCATATGCATATACACACTCATATGCACACAGACATGCACATACAGACACACACACTAATATTCACATATGCACACACATGCACACACTCATACCCATACACATTCACACCCACATACACTTGAATACACACACTTATGCAACACACATTCACATTCATACACACAGGCACACACATGTACAAAACACCATGCATTCATTTCTACACACAGTCAACCCACACATATCCACACACGTTCATACATTCGTGTACATACACACATTCTCATACATATACACAGACACACACACACTCCCACACACCCTCACATTTACACACAGCACACATTCACTAATACACACATGTACTTACACTCACAAAATCATACATATACCCACTCACACCCATAATAAAAACACACACACACACACACAGAGTCTGAACATTCAAATGCATGAAACTGTATCCAGATAATTGCATGTGGGTTTATTTTGTTATAGTATTTAAGAAAGACCATTTTGGGATTAGGGAGAAAGCTGGAGGATGATGAAACTATTTCTCATAGGAGCATCTAGCTCTCAACCAAAGTCAGGATATTCTTCTTCTCACTTTAACTCTGACAATACAAACTACAGAATCTGCCATTACCCCCGCCTTTCGCCTACGATGAACTCTGTTAACACAGGACAGTGGGTAAGGTGTTGCTCAATGCCTTGAGGGTCATACACTCCTTTCTCACCTGGATACCCCCCCCACACACACACTACACACAGGACTGTAGGGAAAGCAGAATTCAGCTCAGGCAAGAACTGAGCAGTATGTGTAACACAGACAGAGCCTGTGAAAACGGTCCAGACAACAGCGACCTGCGGAGACAGTTCTAAAGCTCTGTCCCTTCAGCCATCCCTTCTATGTGAGGCTCTGGGCAGCAGCCTGGGACACAAGAGGAGGGCTGGAGGACCATGTGTGACCGTTACACAAAAGATGCCACTCACTGGGATTTTTGAATCCCTGAGCCAAAATGACGAGGCAAACATGACCGAAATGGTGGGTCGTGGGATCAACAGTTACTGATAACTCCCCTCTAAAGGTGTCCTTGGGGTGCGAACTATGTTGCCTTATCAGGTAGGGAAAATGAGGCCATTCATCATGGCTTTTGTTCCTCCCAAGTCGTAATTCTCCACCAAAGGACACGAAACGTGCAGACTAATATTTCAAAGATGACAGCTGATGCAAAGGAAAAGAAGACACCGAAAGGGACTTGTGGTAGAGGAGTCTGGTGACCCACTCAGGAGCCACATGCCATTGGCGTGGTGGAGAAGGGACACCCCGTGTTCTCTGTCAATGCTGGGACATGCATGAAGTGCCTCACCCCGATGACATCCCGCGCAAGGTACATTTTCATCTCTGCCTGATGCAAATGAAGATAGTATCTGCTGTCTTCCATGTATGTCAGCGTGGCATCTGTATACTCGCTATATGCTTCTCTCTAGACAGTCACGGGATGGGGACCCTACCGGGGTGACAGGCAGCCCAAAGCCATGCTGTTAAACTCATCTCTTCATGTGACCTCTTTGCTGACTGAGTTGATCACCAGGAGGATTCTTCTGCAGTTGACCCAGTGCACCTGTCATACTCCATCTCAGTACACACCATCACGCAGCTCAGTGCCAGCTTCACGTCTGTTGGGGGTTGCAACCTTGCGGTTCTCTGTGACTTAGTCTCACATTACAGAACAAGTGGCTTTCCTCGTGGCTCATGCTCACTCTGTCTTGCGTCTCCTTCTCCCATTGTCTGAGGGAGGGGACTTCTGGAGAAGACATTGCTGGACTAAGACCTAGTGAGGGCAATGCTAGAAATCCAAGTGACTCTAGCACCCCGCTTCTCTTATAGGGACCCCGCTTATGCCCACATCGCTCAGGGAACCTTGTTAGCAGTAACCACAAGAAGTTACAAGACTTCAACGGCTCCGTCAGATGTTGCTCCTACCTTTTCCTTTGAAATCTTTGGTCTTTGGGCTCCGTCCATTTCATTCTAGATCCAAGAGTTCCTGAAGTCAGATCAGCCCACACAATAGCCTCCACACCCCCAGGCGGTTTCCTCCTTCCGGTTCCCCCGGTTCCTGTCATACCCGGTGTCCAGGTTCTTCACTGTGACCCCACGACACCATCTATGGTGCTGCCCGCCCCTGTACCTTAGCTTTTTCCTGTTTCTGTAGCCTTGGTCAATACTTATGTTTTGTCCACTTGGCACACCTTTTCAGACACTGCCAAACGAACGCAGACTGACTGATTAGCTGCACCTTAGGTGGGGATACCAGGCATGGAGAAAGAGAAATGTGTTCTTCCCTTCCCTCTGTTCCTTCCTCTGCTGTGTGTGGGTGTGGCCATCACCAGGGACCCTCCAAAGAAGGGCCTGTGCTTCCCTTCACCGTCCCCAGGAGCTTCCCACCCTCACCAGTTACCTGAGCAGCGGAGCTCTGCCCTCCTGTCAAGCCCAGGTTGGCTCCACCCCTCATGTACCTAAGGAACTTGTTGAGGTCTCCATGCTTCATGTACTCAAAGACCATGATGAGTGGGTCGCCCTCCACACAGACGCCGTAGAACTTGACGATGTGCTCGTGCTGGAGGTTGGTCAGCAGCTCGGCTTCACGGTGGAAGTCCTTGCGGGCATTGTCACTGGCATCCTTCAGTGTCTGTTGGAAAGGGGACATCAAAGGGAAGGTTGTTTCAATAGGGAATCCCATCGGTGAGTCCTGAGGATGTTATAAGGCGTGGCCATGTATCTGAGTAATTACATGGAATGTCAGGAAACATCCTGATTCCTGAGGAAGTAGTGATTGTGTTTGCGAGGCCTCATCCTCATAGGTGCACAGAGGTTTGTTCTGTATGGATGATTCTCACTGGTCCCCCGGGGAGCTTATCTTACAGGCTTCACACTTCTTACCTTTGATGTAGACCAATGAGGAGGAGGGTTTGTTTTCCGTCACTTCACGGTACCTACTGAGACTTCTATGGCTGCATGCATACCTCACCCCTACTCCTGTAACCCTTGAAACAGTTGTTTTCTTAAAATTTCCACCGATGTAGACGTATGTGCACGGGGTGATAAGTGCATGCCTGTGTGTGTGTGTGTGTGTGTGTGTCTGTGTGTTTATGTATGTGTGTTCATGAGTGTGTGGGTGTGTCTATCTGTTTTGTGTGTATATGTGTGTTTATGTATGTGTGTGTATGTGTGTTTGTGTGTGTATGTGTGTGTGTGAGAGAGAGAGAGACACACACACACAGAGAGAGACCATAGAGACTAGAGGTGCTGGATCCCTTGAAGCTGGAGTTGCAGACAGTATAGTTAGTAGTACTTAGGCACGTGTGTCCCCTGCAAAGGCATTATGTAGTCTTCACCACTGAGCCATCCCTTGAGCTCCCTCAAGCCCGTGATCGCAGGACCTCATAGGAAGCTCAACAGCACGAAGAGGTGCCAGAACCCCTGACAATCATGGGGTGGGGTACAGACCTGGGGTAAGGAGCAAGAAGCATGTATGCTCCATGGTGTCCTACCCATGATGCTTTTAGTCATGTCATACATGTATACTCTGTTAGCCAGAACTGTGGTAGATCCAAAGAGACACTGAGCTGGCCTTGGTGGTACATGCATTTAGGCAAGGGATGAAGAAAACGGTCATGGAGAATCGCAAGCCCGAGGTTAGTGTGCCTAGCACACGTGGAGCCCTAGATTTAATTGCTGTAATCACAAGAGAAAGAAATAGACATCAACCCTGATCTTGACCCAGGTGATTATGAACACGTAGGGAGAAAAGACATTTTATAATTAGCTATGTATCTAGCACCCTGAGTGAAGCAGCTTCCCTACCTCTCTGCTTGGCCTGTCCTTGGCATTTCTCTCCTGCCTGAGCGTGGTTCTTCAGCCTTGGCCTTGCCCGCGCCCCCTGAGGCCATATTGTGCCAGTTTTGCCATATGTAATGCTTGTAGCTGCTCGGCTAACAATGTATCCTGCCTTCCCATCCTGCACAAAGTCCCTCCTTTACCTGGAACGCTATCGTGGGTGTGGTCGCTGGCAAAGAAGTTGAACTACGCTCCTCCCCACCGGCGTGCACATCCCGGTCCCCGGAATGTAAGAATGTCACCACCTTCTTACATATGACCTTACATATGACACCTGCATATGACCTAAGTAAGGATCCCCGTGTGTGGGGATGAGCCTGAGTTGCTTGGGTGAGCTCAGTGCCAAACAAAGGCACCTGTAAGACAGAAAGACAGGAAGAAACCCCTCCCCAGAGAGGTTAGATAGCAGGTGTGAATATCAATATCCAGTTAGATTCGGGTATGGAACAGGTCTAAAGCCGGGACATCCAGTGGGTTTGTACTGAATGAGAAAACTTAGCACTATGTCTAACATCCAAGAGTGCTGCCAGGCCCTGGTCATTTCCAGGCACCTACCTTAGCCCTGCTCTCCCTGCAGGGACCTTCCTGAAGGGTGTTACCTACAGACCATGGGGTGTACCACTGCCTGTGCTCCATAGGAGGCAGATCTGAGCTAGATCCCGGCAAGAGAAACATTTGTGGATATTGTTAGTATAACGTGGACTTGGAAAAAGGAGAGGAAGGCTGAGCGCTGACTTCACCTCAACAGAAGCCTCCGTGGCTTGAGTAGAATTGCTGAAAACGGTGTTTTTTTGCGCTGTCTCGGGCTTAGGGGACAAGGTGCTGTTCATCACCGAGTCTTTCACAGCCTGAGTCTTTAGGGGCCACCATCCACAGAGAAGGGAGCATCAGTAAGTATGCTGGATTCCCTGAGGGAGCAGCCACTGCCGCCGGAGATGGCACTGCCAGCCCATGCGAGCCTCCGGGGCTAGCCCTTTCCCTGAGGGTGGCTCTTCAAGGGCACTTAACGTTCTCTCTGGAGTAGTGACTGGCCTCACCGAGACAGGAGTCACAGGAGTCGCTTCCATCAGCCCAGGGGTGAGGGCATCTTAGGGGAAATTGTGAAGTGGCCCTCCACTCTCCCCACAAGCACCGTGGGCTCTGCCTGGAAATGGGAGCGGATTTGGATGGTGGAGCGCTCAGAGGCCAGGAGTCTCTGATGGCCATTGCCATGGAAACAGCACTCTTCCTCGCACAAGAACAAAATGAACAGTGGCAGAGAACTAGGGTGTGGGTCCCTGCTTCTTGAGTCGGAAGAAACTGAGCTTGCTACTGTTCCCCTGTATCCCAGATTAAGTCTACTCAGGTCCAGACTAAAAGTTCTTATCTTTCCCTCACGTAGGCAGGGGCCCGCGGTGAGCTTATCATGAGGGTTTTGTTTGATTTGATTTTGGACATGATCATGGTTTGGAGTCTTCTTTTTCCACAAGTCTTTCTGAATTTCTCAGTGGGAATTTAGCAGATGAGGTGAGGGGTGTGGAAACATGGAGATGAGCTTGGTCCTCTGCCAGGCCCCCCTTCCTTGATCTCAGAGAAAACACACAGACCCATGCATGCATTCCTCGCCTTGCATTTTGGTTTGGGGACTACACCACCAATTCACTGGATGCTGACTCAGCACCAAGCAACTGGAGAAACCCTCAGGTCCAAGGTCTGCAGGAAGTAAGTAGAACAGAAATGAAAGGTGAGCAGCCCCCAGGAAAGTGCAGGGTCAGCCAAACAGGGGCGAAGAGCAACAAGCCTGGTACAACTCGCTCTAAGCTGGGGAGGGCTGCCCCATGCCCTCTGTCCTGGAGGCTCAGCCCCTACATCTGCCCTCCTTCTTGCAATGCTACAGTGGTGCTCAATTGGAAGAGGTTTAGGCTAAAGCTGAGAGTCCCAGGTTCAAATCTTGGGCACAACCTGCTCCTCTCTGAGCCCTGCTTTCCTCTCCTGTGGAGGGAGAATAACCCCATGCAGTTCTTCGGGGTGATGGAGGGACAGTGAAGGAGCAGGAGTTGGGATGCTCCCCGGGACCCTTTGTGAAGAGGGTCACTGATGGGATTTGAATTTGAAAACAGGTCCCTGAATTCAGTTTTCTCATACTAGGGTCCACAGAAGATGAAAGATGCATGGATAAGGTAATGGGCCCTGCTCAAGGCATGACAGTGGCATTGCTTCTGGGGAGAGCATTGCCTCCTGCAAGGCTGCCTAAAGCCCCAGGAAGTATCAGGCTCTGTGCGGGGGGGGGCGCGGAGCTGTGGCCCCCAGACGCTCCTACAGTTCAGGATTTACAGGAAAGCTTATGCCTAAAGCCTTGTGTTTAGCACACTCGCTAGTAGAAAAGGGGCTGATCCGTTCGGGTCTTTGTCACAGGACATAGACAAACCCTGCAGAAGAGCTTTCCAAGAAAACTCTAATTATGTCCTGTTGATTCAAGAATGCTAGAAAGACAGGGAAATGCTAGACACAGAAAGGGAGAGAGAGAGAGAGAGAGAGAGAGAGAGAGAGAGAGAGAGAGAGATTCAGAGGAGAGGAGAGAGAAGGGGGAAGGAAGGGAAAGGTAAAGAGAGCAGAGGATTGAAGAGGAGAGAAGGGAGGAGGGGAGGAGAGCGGAGGTGAGGTAGGGAGGGCGGGGCACGGCAGGTGAGGGGAGGGGAGGGAGGGGAGGGGAGGGGAGGAGAGGGCAGGGGAGGGCAGGGCAGGGGAGGGCAGGGCAGAGGAGGGGAGGGGAGGGCAGGGCAGGGCAGGGGAGGGCAGGGCAGGGCAGGGGAGGGCAGGGCAGGGGAGGGGAGGGGAGGGCAGGGCAGGGGAGGGGAGGGGAGGGGAGGGGAGGGCAGGGGAGGGCAGGGCAGGGGAGGGCAGGGCAGGGGAGGGCAGGGCAGGGGAGGGGAGGAATGAAAGAAGGAGGACACACTCTTCTTCTTTGAGAGGAGCAGCCCCTAGATTTTAACCAGCACTCAGCATCTCCACTTCCCCAGTGTGAGCTCTTAGTGCAATGTCAGAAACTGGGGCTCAGTCACATTTTTTTAAAATCAAAAGTGATTTTACTATTCATGGACCAAATGCATCCTGCAAACCTGGCACCCTCCTGTGAGCCCATCCATTTTTGCATGGTGGGCCCTTTTTTGAAATTATGATTCAATTCTATTTTAAGAGATTTTGGAAAATATGGTGGTAAGGACTTGGCCAAATTCAAATCCTGAATTTGGCGTTAAAAGGACAGAATTTTTGTAAGGATAGAATCGGGGCCAGACAGCAATCAGAAGCTAGAAAAGTCTGCATCGACCCTACTTATAAATATCATCTCTGTTTCGGTACCATGTCTGATTGCCATTTTACTCACTTATGGGAGGGAGGCTTGGCTGGTAGCAGAGCTCCTGGTCCAGGAGAAGCCAGGGGTATTGGGCCCAGCTCACCCTTTAGAGTCCCTCCTCACTTCAGCCTAGTATGTCAATCATGCATCCCTAGCCCCTTACTCCAGCCGACTTGCCATGGTGTTGCTTCTGTTTCTGGGTGGATTTCTGGATACTCCTTGGCTGGGGTCATCTCTGACTCCAGCAGGAGACCTCATTCAGGGCTGAGGTGAGATGCTGCCTGTTGTGTGTATGTAGAGCCGGGATAGTGTAGCGATAGCCAATGACTTGAGCGCAGAAACAAGAGGTCAGTGAAGGGAAATAGAAGGGAAGAGTAAAGGCAAACAAACTGCATTTCAAATGATGAAGCAGAAACTAAAGAAGGCAGGAAGCACTAGCTAGAGAGCAGGAGGGTGCA